TTGTTCCGACTGATTTTGTTGTGAGAGGAAAACACTGTTCCGACTGAAAAAATAAGCTGAAAAGTACGGATTATAAGACAAGCAAACAGGGCCAGATTACAGAGGTTCTGGAATGCAAGGAGCAGGGATAACCGTGCGTGTGGAGAGCTGGAGGCACCAGAGGGTCCACCAATCAACCACCAACATAAACGCAGGGCGTGGTGATCATTCACCGCAAAGACGATGACCTTACGTTCTTTTTAGGATGCTGTTTGGTTCCACTTTGGGAGTGAGAATGTAAATGAAAACAATTGCCGCCGCTACCTGTTACACTGTAATAGAAAACACACTTTGTTTGGTTGGCGTACGCAGCGACTCGTGAGCTACATAAACGGATACAGCCTGGAGGTGATGTCGATGTGGGACCCATAAGGTTCCTCACGGAGAAGAGAGAAGAAGACCTAGTCCAACTAGAATTCCCTACATGTAATTCTATTAGGACTAGTTACACGTAATCCTATTAGGATCTCTACTTTGTAACCGACTATGACTCCCGCCTCTCCTGAACTATATAAAGGAGGGCAGGGGCCCCTAGATCGGCATACCTAGCTAATGTACACATGGGCGAGACATAACCGATGAACAACCACAACAAATGCGCAGGCGAATATACTATCCACCCCACATCGGGCGTAGGCGCGCCGACTTTCCGCGTGCCGAACCAATGATAAATCGTTGTCTCCCTGCTTTACCATCGAAGTTCTCGCAAACGCCGATACCCTCCGAACAAATCACCGTCGCCGGTGCCCCGTGGACGGATTATCGAAAACATCGACAAATCGCGCCGGTAGGGGACCTTAGCTTTGCGTTTCGGTGGACCTCAAAATAAAGATTCGCCGCGACCCTCGTCGGCCTTGTCGACAACTTCGCCATGGCTCTCGTCAACCTCGTTATAACTTTATGCGGCTCGGAAGACGCCGAGATCAAGATTCGCCAGCGGTTGTCATTGGCATCATTCGACAACTTGAAGCGCATGTTCTCGGCGACGTCCTCGTACATCCAATCGATCGTTCAGGCTGCATGGTGCGCGTACACTAACAAACAACTACGTCCAGCGATCGCAAGATATACATAAACAACCCGGAAGCTGCGGTTCCAACTACTTAGGCAAACAAAATGATTGACGGCCGCATAAGACTCGCCGACGACTACTTCAACTTCAAGGCAAGAGCGCCAAAACAAACGTTAACTACTCGACTACTTCGACGGACAACTCACCGACGGCTACGCCGGCCGGCGTCCGGCGAGGACGACTCTCGACTACTCATCTCGACTAGAAAACTAGTCGGGAGCGGCCTCACACCGTCGAGTCGGAATCAACAACCGTCCGGCTTCATCAACGGCCACAGCTTCATCAACAACGCGGAACCAAGCTAAGTCCGCCTCATTTTTATATATTCGATATTATTCAGAGCCTCTGGGCCAATCATCTTCCCCAACGGTGGTTTCTGGATAGTAAGCTTTAATTCGGAAGCTTGTTTTCTCGAATGGATGGTCACGCGAACCTCTCGAACGGATGGTCACGGCAAAGAACCTCTGAACCATACGGGTGGTCACGCAACGGACCTCCGAACCAAACGTGAGATTCAAGTGCTTAAACGTAACAGGTTACCCGAAAAATTAACCGACCTAGCAAGGGAAGACACAAAAAAATCATCATGCGAGCAAACATAGTGCTCAAGATACAAAAATCATCATGCAAGCAAACATAGCGCTCTAGGTCTTCTCTTAATACGTCGTTCCTCGTGTAGAACACGCCTTAATCCGTGAAGCTTGTCTACTCACATGGATGGTCACGAACCGAAAGTGCCAGCTCACATGGTCACGCCATGAACCTCTAAACCATACGCCCGAGATTCAAGTGCTTAAACGTAACCACTACCGAGGAATTTGCATGGCCTAACAAGAGCAAGACGAAAAAAGGGAGTTTATATGCATTTTATGATGCCGGGCCCACCCCGATTGATTATCCAAATATGAGACATGCTTCCGACTTCATATCCGGAATGTCATTTAAAACATATTTTTATGTTTAACATGCGAGGAGCTACATCGGTACCATGAGATCGAGGAAAACACGCCCCGAGAGCTAGTCCGAAACAACCCGGATTGATCGAAAAACAACCCGGATGAGGTACATACAAATTCGAAAGAACTCGGACGAAGCGCAAACAACCCCAAGAGGTGCTTTGCAAGTACCAAGACAAATTCGAAAAGAACCCGGATTGATCGCTTCGGATGAGGTACATACAAGTTCGAAAGAACTCGGACGAAGCGCAAACAACCCCGAGAGTCTGCCTACCGAGATAAATTCGAGAAAAGAACCCGGATTGATCGGAAAACAACCCGGATGAGGAACATACAAGTTCGAAAAAGAACCCGAACGATCGAAAAACAAACCTAAATAGGTCTTTGCCGTAAGTAACAAGACAAATTCGTCGAACCCGGATTGAAGAAAAACAACCCAGATAAGTTGGGAACAGAAATCAAGACAAAAAAGAACTTGGATTGATCAGAAAACAATCCGGATGAGGTACATACAAGTTCAGAAAGAACTTGGATAAAGTGCAAACAACCTGGAAGAGGTACATCAAGAACCAGAGAAGTCTAGAAACGACCTTGATGAATAAAAAACAACCCGGATGAGGTACATACAAGTTTAGAAAGAACCTAGACGAAGTGCAAACAACCTGGAAGAGGTACATCAAGAAACAGAGAAGTCTAGAAAATGACCTGGATGAATAAAAACAACTCGGAAGAGCATCACGACTTAGTCAAATCAGAAAACAACCCGGATGAGGTACATACAAGTTCAGAAAGAACCTGGACGAAGTGCAAACAACCTGAAAGAGGTACATCAAGAACCAGAGAAGTCTAGAAAATAACCTGGATGAATAAAAACAACTCAGAAGAGCATCACGACTTAGTCAAATCAGAAAACAACCCGGATAAGGTACATACAAGTTCAGAAAAAACCTGGAAGAGGTACATCAAGAACCAGAGAAGTCTAGAAATGACCTGGATGAATAAAAACAACTCGGAAGAGCATCACGGCTTAGTCAAACACTAAGCTCGGGGGCTCGGCATTAAACTTCAATTACGCTCGGGGGCTCGAATTTAAGGATGAAAGACCAAGAATACAAGTACTCAAGACTACAACAAAGACAACACATCAAGACCCTTCATCCGATTTCTATTCTAAAGAAAAGTACTGGAGAAGGCTCGGGGTCATGGATACATAACCCCAAAAAAAAATTTTGAAGACAAGAATCGGACCCTCCAACTTTTGCAAGCAAAAGCAAGAGGCTCGGGGGCTACACTCAGTGAGTGCAATTTTTACGAAAAATTGCACCCACCCAAAAAGAACTCAGAGCAACCAAGAAGACTAAAGGGACCCTCTGGCTTCTTGTCCCAACAAGCAAGAGGCTCGGGGGCTACACTCACTGAGTGCACTTTTGTTCAAAAGTGCACATCAGTCGGAGAAAAGATAAAGAAGACCATCTCAAGATTTCACTTCAAGAAAGAACCCGGAACAAGTCTACAAACAACCCGGCCCTTGAAGCTCAATCATGAAATGCTCGGGGGCTTGTCGATGCGGGACCCATAAGGTTCCCCACGGAGAAGAGAGAAGAAGACCTAGTCCAACTAGGATTCCCTACATGTAATCCTATTAGGACTAGTTACACGTAATCCTACTAGGATCTCTACTTTGTAATCGACTAGGACTCCCGTCTCTCCTGAACTATATAAAGGAGGGCAGGGGTCCCTAGATCGGCAAACCTAGCTAACAGACACACATGGGCGACAGACATAACCGACAGAACTCACAACCACAACAAATAGCGCATGGCGCAATATACTATCCACCCCACACTGGACGTAGGGCGCCGTGACTTTTTACGTGCCGAACCAAAGATACCGTTGTCTCCTGCGTTTACCATCGAAGTTCATATCCGATACCCTCCGAACAAATCACCGTCCCAGGTGCCCCGTGATGGGTTGCCGGTGGTAAAACATCGATAGGTGGACGGTATCCACGTTGCACGCCTCCGTATTGGATCCCTCCGCGAACGGTTCCGGTCTCCCTGAAATGAGAAAATTGAATATTTGGGACTGCCGCTCGGGTGCATGACAAATGAAGTCCTATGTTTGCAAATCTCTCACAGATAGACATCCAAATATTTAGCTTTTTAGAAAGATGAGTTAATATTTCATAGTATTGTTATTTTATCGTGCGACTCGTGAGTTTTTATACAAAAGTTTAGCTGTCCCGTAGCAACGCACGACCACGCTACCTGGTGTACATAATAATTATTAGGCAAACAAAATGATTGAATGCGCAAATATCTATCCAGGTCCAAATTTAAAGATGAGGAGAGGACGCCGGCCGGCGAGAGGACGAGCCGTCCCGAGCAGACGGCGCAGGGAGGGAATGGAACAACGGGAGGCCCCCCGATTTGAATTGGAGCCAGGAAATCATCCGCCAGGTGGCTGGATGGCAGAGGCGATGGAGAGCGCGGCGGCATGGCAGCCCGATCCCTATCGCCTCGACCGGACCCGCCAGCCGCGCGCAAGCGCATGTGCAATGCCCTGCGCGATACGTCGTCGTGAGGCCGGCGTGTGTGGAGGGTGGCAGCCCTGGCGCGCGCGGCCACAACCCCCACTTTCCCGCGCCATCAATGCGCGGGCCGCGGGCCACCCGTCGCGCTCGCGCCGCGCTGGCGAGCCCCTGCCCCTCCGTCGCCTCCGCCGTCGCTCTCGCCACCGCCAGAGCTCGCCTCCTCCTCGCGCTCTGCCTGCCTGCCTGTATCTAGCTAGCTAGTCTAGTCGCTCGCGCGGGCCGGGTCTGTCTGTCCCTGGCAGTCGCAGACGTATATATCGCCCCGCCCGTGTAAAAGCTAGTTGTATGTAGCCGTGCGCGCGCACGCACGCACGTAGACACAGCAGACTGCTAGGGTACGATGGAGTCGATAATGGAGAAGCCGATGATGGACGCTGCCGCGGGCGGCGGCGGTGGAGGAGGAGGAACAGGGATCGGGCGGACCAAGTCGGAACAGCTGGCGCCGTTGCAGTCGCTGAGCCGGACGCCGTCGGCGGAGACGGTGCTGAGCACGCCGGCGGACGCGCCCAGCCTGTCGCGCAAGTCCAGCTTCGGAAGGAAGCGGCGCTCCGCGTCGGTCGGCGGCGGCAACAACAACAGCCACATCCGCAAGTCCCGGAGCGCGCAGCTGAAGCTGGACGTGGAGGACCTCGTCGGCAGCGGCGCCGCGCTCAGCCGCGCCTCCAGCGCCAGCCTCGGCTTCTCCTTCACCTTCACCGGCTTCACCCCGCCGCTCCAGCACATGTGCTCCGCCGACCCACCGCCCTTCAGCGACGACGACGAGAACCGTACGTACGCACCATTTCATATCAGTCCATCCGAAGCTAGCTAGCTCACTCTACATGCATGCATGCCCCGCGGCAGCGATGGACATCGAGGCCGGCACACGGCGCAAGAAGCTCATGACCGAGCCGACCTTGCCGATATACCTCAAGGTAAAACCGATCGAAACCACAACCAGAAAATATACACCTTGCATGCATGCATGCTGCAGCAAAAAGCTTCGATTGTATCAGTGTCACTGTGAGTATGCATGCAGTTTGCGGAGGTGAAGTACAGGGTGGCGGGGAAGGGCTCGCCGCGGGAGATTCTGGGAGGGATATCCGGGTCGGCGTCCCCCGGCGAGGTGCTGGCGCTGATGGGCCCGTCCGGCAGCGGCAAGACGACGCTGCTGAGCATCCTGGGCGGGAGGGCCGGCAGCGGCGCCGTCAAGGGCTGCATCTCCTACAACGACGAGCCCTACAGCAAGTCCCTCAAACGCAGGTAACCAGCTACCTACCTGCTGCCGCGTGTCCTCCATGACACGACTCCGGTTGATTTAACTCGGTCGCCGGGCTCATTAATAATTGGTTAATTAATTTCTCGGGGCGGAATTACTCATTATTATTAGCTGATGGGCGCGCCTAATTAAATTGTGTGGTCAGTAGCTTTCGGTAAGTTAAGTGGGCCCATCGGTCGCCGATGAGGTGTTCATCGGTCGCCGATGAGGTGTTTCGTTAACTGTTGATCATGCATGGCTGCTTTGTCCTTGGTTCACTGTTCATGCACCTTTCGCTGTGAGTGCATGACTCGCGAGTCGTCGCTCTGTTGTCCATACAGTGTCCGGTGAAATTGACCTGACAGTGTTTTCCCTTGTCGTTTTCGCCTCCTCTAGCCCAGCAGCAGGACTGGGCCAAAACTGGGTATCGAGCCACTTCCCTTCGTCGGCATGGCGCCACCCCTCCCCGTTGTCTCCTCCAGAATCGCAGACGGCTTCCGCCGAATGAATTGTCCGTAGCATGGTGCGGTCCTCCGGCGACTACCAATGTCCCGGTGCTCCATCCTGTCCCCTACATGTCACACGACCGGACAACCCGCTATCTCAGTCTCATGTTTCAGTTTCGACTCGCCTGTCGCCATTACCATCTGTAATTCTGTATGATGGGTGGGCCGTGGGTGCCTCGGTGGCCCCAATCCCAACGCCCAGCCTATCAGCGCTCCTTCATGGTCATGGATTTCAGCGGTTGAGATCCAGGGTCGATTCTTCGCAGATCCAATGAGCAAGAGCCACTAACTAATCAGTGATCTCCTGGCTAACAGAGCAGCGTGTGGTATGTTGCCAATCCCGCGTGGCCGCGTGCCTGCAACCTGTTCGACAGATTTCCGTAGCCAAACTCTGGTTAGAGGCTGAGCCCTCGCGCCTGTTAAACGTAAGTCTCCGTGTTCAGACGTCAACGTCTCCTGATTCCTGAAACATCTATCGGATTCTCGGAACCACCCGTTCCTATGAATGATGATACTCTTCTCATGCCTGTCACTGGTTACAAGGACTGCCTCCCTCTCTACTTCTGTCCAGTAACAGTCGTTTTAGATGTAGCTGTTGATAAGGACTTGTGCTTTACTAGTCTTCAGTAGTGTCCTTGTGCAGACACCAAAAAAGTACATCAGTTTAGTAGATCCACTAACTGTTAACTATATGTATGTTTTCGCTACTTCCGTTTGGACAAATTAATAAGGTAAAACCAGCACTTGATTTGCAATTTAGAATGCGAGATGTAACATCTCATTATTGTCAGGTGTCATGTACAATTCTCTGAAAGAAGCCTCACGATGTCTTCAAAAATATTGAGACTAGATGAGGGAGCTATAGTGTTATATCGATCAATGACATGAAATAGTTTTGGGGCTTTTTAAGTTCTCTGTAGAGTGTAGGACTTGAGGCCTTGAGAGACAGTTAATGGATGTGTCAAGTTTCTTTTCTCCAAAAGGGAGACTTTCAGAAGGTTAAAGAGTAGATATAAATGAGCCTGGAAGTTTGCGGCAGCACATAGATAATTTCTCCTTTAGTAATGTTGTTTTGTTTTGTTTTGTTTTGTTCCAGGGCTGTACTGTGCTGACTTCTGTAAACGGTGCCGTGCAGTGTAATAACTGTTGCTTCATAGGTTGTGACTTGTGAGTACGCATGTTGACATATAGTTGGACTCATATTTGCTTGCAGGATAGGATTTGTGACTCGAGATGATTGTTCTCTTTACCCATCTTACTGTGAAGGAGACATTGACTTATTTCCGTAGCCAATCTGGTTAGAGGCTGAGCCTTCGCGCCTGTTAAACGTAAGTCTATGTGTTCAGATGTCAACGTCTCCTGAAAAGTCAGATTCTCGGAACCATCATTCCTATGAGTGATGATGCTCCTCCTGAGCCTGTCACTGGTTACAAGGACTGCCTCCCTGTCTACTTCTGTCCAGTCCTAGTCGTTTTAGTTGTAGCTGTTGATAAGGCCCTGATTTACTAGTCTTCACTCTTCAGGAGCGTCCTTGGGGAGCCACCAAGAAAGGACATCAGTTTAGTAGATCCACTAATTCTTAACTATATGCTTGTTTTCGCTACTTCCAGTTGGTGAAATTAATAAGGTAAAACCAGCACTTAATTTGCAATTTAGAATGTGGGATGTAACATCTCATAATTGTCAGGTGGCATGTGCAATTCTCTGAAGGAAGCCTCGCAACGTCTTAAAAAATGTTGAGCCAAGATGAGAGGGCTAAAGTGTTATATTCATAAATGACATGAAACAATTTTGGGGCCTTTTATGTTCTCTGTAGAGTGTTCAAGTTGAGGCATTGAGAGACAGTTAATGGTTGTGTCAAGTTTCTTTTCTCCAAAAGGGAGAATTTGAGAAGGTTAAAGAGCCGAGTAGATATAAATGAACCTGGAAGTTTGTGGCAGCACATAGACAATCTCTCCTTTAGTAATGTTTTTTCTTTGGCTCCAGGGCTGTACTGTGCTGACTTCTGTAAATGGTGTCCTGCAGTTTAATAACTGTTGCTTCATAGGTTGTGAGTTGTGACTTATGAGTACGCATGTTGACATATACTTGGACTCATATTTGCTTGCAGGATAGGATTTGTGACTCAAGATGATGTTCTCTTTACCCATCTTACTGTGAAGGAGACATTGACTTACGCGGCACTACTTCGTCTCCCAAGAACAATGACACGACAACAAAAGAAAGAGCGGGCGATGGACATCATATATGAGCTTGGTCTTGAAAGGTTGACCACACATCTTATATTTTCCACGTTTTTGCATCTTTATTACTGTTCTTACAAGGCAGCTTAGTTTTATGCGTACAAAGGTGCCAGGACACAATGATCGGAGGATCATTTATACGTGGGGTTTCTGGGGGTGAAAGGAAAAGAGTTTGCATTGGAAATGAGATTTTAATCAATCCATCTTTACTGTTTCTGGATGAGCCAACATCTGGGCTGGATTCAACTACAGCTCTAAGGATCGTTCAACTTCTTCATGACATAGCTGAGGTGATGTGGAAGTAACAAGTAACGTCAAATAAGACGTCATCAGTTCAGTTCATATTTAATTTAGTTGATTTCTGCAGGATGGGAAGACGGTAATCACCACAATTCACCAACCATCTAGCAGGCTGTTTCATAAGTTCGACAAGCTTATCCTCTTGGGAAAAGGAAGTTTGCTATACTTTGGGAAGGCATCTGAAGCCATGCCATACTTCCAGTCCATTGGATGCACCCCACTTATTGCAATGAACCCTGCAGAGTTTCTACTGGATCTCGTCAATGGAAACACTAATGATGTCTCAGTCCCTTCAGAATTAGATGACAAGGTGCATATGGAGAATAATAATTCCAAGAATGACCACAGGCCATCAGCACAAGATGTTCATGAGGTGAAGAATGAAATCAATGTGCTGATGTTATGATGTATGGATTGGTTTTTAACTGTATTGAATAATTTATTTATGATGTTCTGCAGTATTTGGTAGATGCCTATGAGACTCGAGTGGCTTTTAAGGAGAAGAAGAAGCTTCTAGCACCACTGCCTATTTGTGATGATCTGAAGGCAACTATAACATCATCGAAGCGAGAGTGGGGCACTTCCTGGTGGCAGCAATACTCCATCCTCTTTTGTAGAGGGATCAAGGAACGACAACATGATTATCTGAGTTGGATGAGAATCACCCAAGTCATAGCTACATCGATTATCTTAGGTTTATTGTGGTGGCGCTCTGATCCCAGCACACTAAAAGGTCTAGAGGATCAGGTATGCACACAGAACCAGCTTTTTTATTCCAGAGTTCAATTGGTTACACTAATTACCATATGACTAATAGATACATCTTAATGTAAAACAATGCCATTTGTGTGTACAGGCTGGCCTACTGTTTTTCATTGCTGTGTTTTGGGGTTTCTTTCCTGTGTTTACTGCAATCTTCACATTCCCTCAAGAGAGGGCAATGTTGAACAAGGAGCGTGCAGTTGACATGTACAAGCTCAGTGCATACTTCTTGGCGAGAACAACAAGTGATCTACCGCTTGACCTTTTCCTCCCTGTCATATTTATGGTGATCGTCTACTTCATGGCAGGCCTCAAAGCAACTGCCACACATTTCTTTCTTAGCGTGCTGACTGTCTTTCTCAGCATAATTGCTGCTCAGGTACTAAATTCAGAGCTAGTCTCCTTATGCAATACTATTCCAATCTCTTGTTTTACCCTTTGTCAAAGGAGAAACCTGGAGGAGTAACGTGATGCTTGCATATTTAATTTTCTAAAAGAAAGTTACTGACGGTTAACTAGTTACAGACTTACAGTGTGACCTGCATTGGTTGTAAGTGAAGAACTCAAGAACACCTGATCAACCTCAAACCTGTTCCCCATATTTATAGTCAACATCGTTAGAATAGTCATTTGATTTCACGCACAAGTTTGTGAGAAACTGAATATAAACCATTTTTAACACCTTTAGTTGTGGGTTGGAGAGGAAAAGAGATGAATGAGAGACAGAAATTGAACGTGATGATGCTCTCTAATGATTAATGGTAGAATGTTAAACCGAACTTATCTGTTAATGTTAGGATGCACTGAAAAAAGGTATCAACAATCGTCCTGTTCTGTAGCACTACTTTAGCAGTACTTTTCAGCGAACGAACAGTGTCTTCCTCTCACAACAAATCAGCATAAGCATCAGCATAAGCCAAATTTCGATAAATAGTAGAATTTCAACAAAAAGTGATGTGCAGGGACTAGGATTGGCAATTGGAGCTACCCTGCTGGATATCAAGAAGGCAACAACTCTAGCTTCAGTTACTGTCATGACATTCATGCTAGCAGGAGGCTTCTTTGTAAAGGTTAGTGCACTACATAATTCAGTTCTGAAGTAGTTACCACAAGCGGAAATGTGTGTGTCTTGGACCACTGAATATTTCTGTTCCCTGCATTGCCTTCATTCGACTCTGATGGTCTGCAGAGGGTTCCGCCGTTCATCTCCTGGCTGCGCTACCTGTCCTTCAACTACCACACCTACAGGCTCCTGCTGAAGGTGCAGTACGATCCCGTGCCGGACATCCTGACCACCACGAAACACATGGACAACGGTGCCACTGAGGTGGCAGCTCTCGTCGCGATGATCATCGGGTACCGGGTGCTGGCCTACCTGTCCCTGAGAAGGGTGAAGGCCGGAAGCAGCTAGCGCATCTCTTCACTTGCTTGTGCGCGCACTGACTGAAGCCTGAGCTCCTGGAGGCTGCAAGGTTGGGTGTGTAGGGAAGTTTGTGTTATATTGCGCTGTGAAAAGATGGAATTCTTTTTTTACTTTTCTGTCTTTTTCAACTAAGTTCAAAGCAAAAACCAACACTGAACAACAAGAGGCCCCGTTTGGCTTACCTTAAATCCGGCTTGTTCGGCTTCTTTTTTCAGCGAACAGTGTTTTTCTCTCCCAACATTTCAGTCAGAACAGTGTTTTCCAGCCAAATTTCAGCAAGCCGAACGGGGCTAGGTGTGCTGTAAATTTTCCGTCACGACGAGTCAACGATTACGTGTTTAAAGTGATTTGAAAATTAATAAGCATGAGTTTAGATTGAAGGCATAATCTTAGGATGGGTAGCTTTAGGACAAATCATGCTCATATACTCCCAAGAATGCGTACACTTCAGTGACATTATACAAGTTCTTCGCGACGGAAGCACAGAATGAAGGCCTGATGTCCCATAGCTCAGAAGGAAGATATAAATCAGTGTTTGTTTCATCTACATCACCCTTGTAAGGTCCCATTTCTGCAATGTTCATCTGTTATACTACTAAAATTCTGGGCTCCATCGATCTTTCCAATTTGTGACTAGAGCTCTTCATTTTTTGTAACTGCTATTAGGGTAGAAAGGCAAACGCACAGAGAACTTTCTTGCCAAGAACTGACAGTGTTAACCGATGTTAGGCTCTATCGGCCTGTAACTGATGTGTTTACAAAGTACATACTCTGCTGCTATGCCCCAACATATACATGGAAGTACCAGGACGAACAATGGACAGTAAGCATAAATACTACACAGAAATAGTGTAGTATCACTACTCAGGCAGTACGATATCAGATATTCTGTTAATATCTTTACAGAAGTTCAGGTCTACCCATACAGGCATACGGCTGTTTAATGCTCCATATTTTGACATGGCGGTGGGGTAACCTTCGTCTTTTCGCCTGCACGAAATGAGGCACACGGAGATTAATATTGCTGAATCGAATGTTGGAAAACAGTGCTTACAAAGTACTAGTGGTAGATACAAGGCGTTTTACTACAATGTTTTCATTTTATTATCAGGAGGGCAGCTGGCCCTTCTGTTTCCTGAACCTGAATAACCCAGGCCTAATTTAGCCATGGTTTACAAGAAGCATTCAAGTAGGAAACTCACTATATGCTCCACGGATCTCAACTTCCCGCCATTCTTGAACAAGTGCACAGCAACAACACAGCAGATGTGAAAGAAAGTCATCACAGCAGCCTCCCTGTTAGAAGCACACCATTTAAACTTCTGGTACTGAAGGCTTCAATAAGTTCGCTAGTATATAAAGAAGGCTATTGTCAACTTACGTATGTACACAATCTCTTGCCAAACCTCTTCAATAGTAATGGGTAAAATGGACATGATGTATAAGTTAATTTCATCAAGATAATCGAAAGCTGTTTTTGCTGGATATTCTGGTTTTAGCAATTAATCAGTCACTTGCATATGGTATGGTCAATCCCAGAGGTAGTTCAGTGCCAAGTTAAGAAATGAGCATTTCTACTTAATATCAACTAGTAACACATTCTGAAATATTTACCGCAATGTCCATCTTTTGGCGAAGCTTTCTCCTTACACAGCATGTATAACAGCAGCAAGACAATATTAGGGAGTATGCCATAATGTCATTGCAAGCCTCTCCAGAAGCTGAAAACAACACAAAAATACCGTGTAAAGAAGGCTTTAGCTCACAAAAGGTGTGATAGCATTCTACTTGAAAGGATGTATGATTTTACTTGCTTTAAAGAAAATTTTGGACTCAAGATGGAATGCCACATGGTTGAAATTAAGTAATTAACAGATTACAAATTTACTATACAACAAAAACTTGGCATAGTTAAGGCGATGACTATTTTCACTTTTCAGATTCTTACACATTGGCCTGTCCTTGGCGACTGAAGCAATTCTCGAGAAGGTTCCACAGGGGAAGAACAAGGTCTTCAAACCTATGTTATCATAACGAACACATGCAAAGGAAACAAAATCATGTTAGTAAAAATCCCCATGCCTGGATTGACCAATTATAAACTGACAACAATACAAAGGAAAACCAAACTAAGCTAGATACAAAGCTGAAAAACTATCCACAAAAGTCAAAATAGCATGTAAAATGGTACAGTAAAATTATTGAAACATTATACTAAACAGAGCAAATAAAATTATAATAATAAAATTTCCACAGTTCAAAGATAAGGTTAATAGACATACACAAAGCCGGTTCTGAACAGCAGCCAAGTAAATCTGCATGCCACTCATCGCTGTATGATCCTCTACTTGAGACAAGATCATGACCATATGGAACTTGTGAAGAACATCTGCATCGGACATACATCATCAGAACTACCAGATGTTTTATAGTATGTATTAGCAGCTGCGTGGTGTGCACAGAGTGAACTGTTCTTTCCCGTTTTACTTCCATTTGTCAACGATAACCTAATTTCTCTTTCATCTTTAAAAAAAAGATATGCACAAGAGTCAGGTTTATTATTGTGTACCACAATTACATCAAGGCAATGGTCAATGACACGTATACAGATCTCATATCACTCGCAACCCACACAATTCACAGATCAGATTGATGTTAATCCCAAGAGGAAAATGGTTATGTGCACCATCTTGTATGACAATATCATATCATAAAGAAGGTCATCAGAACTAACAAATCTAATTTACTCACCGTTGTGTGCTGCAGGTATCCTTTTGCTTCTTAGGATAGTCGTCATCATCATCAAACGATTTTGCACTATCTCCTTTGGATTCACTGTAGTTTGAACCCTTCTTTTCCGAAGCTTTGGCATTTGTTTCTTCGTCTGGAATTGTAGATTCCACAGTTTTGGTTACTCCAAGCAGGTGTTGAATAACCTCACACGAACCCAGATCCATGTTGCTCTGTGATCTTTGAAGCTCAACCTGAAGCTTCTCACTTTCCTTTTGGAGGGCCTCATTGAAAGGCAAGTTTGGATAGGAACATGACAGAGTCTTCTTGAGCACCATTGTAGGATTCGTGCAAGGGTCAGGATTTAACAAAGCATCTTGCACTTTCTTGTCTTCCTCGTCAAAAGAATATTCACATTGGTCCCTCTCAATATACTCAAGCCGATCCTAGGAAAAGAAAAGATGAAGAATAAGACAAACAGGATATACTCCCTCTGTCCCTAGATGTCTGTCATTTTCGCTTCCCGATAAACAACTTTGACTAAATATATATTAAAAAATATTAATATTTATGATACATAATTAGTATCATTGGATAGATATTTGAACCTAGTTTTTTAATAAATTTATTTAGAGATAGAAATGTTGCACGCATTTTCTATAAATCGAGTCAAAGTTATCGGCACGCAAATCGTGGCAACAAACATTTAGGGAGAGAGAGGGAGTAGGTAGGAAGATCAAAAGATGGCCTGTTCGGCAGGCCGTAAACGATCGTGGATTATTTACTGCTGGCTGGTTTGGTGTGAGAGAAAAATACTGTTCTGGCTAGAAATTTACGATCGTTTACGACCAAGCGAACAGGCTGACCGAATTCAGCTTAACCTACTATCTACAAGTTCACAGGCATTATCTATAAAAAATAAAACTACAACTTAACAGGTGTATAGAAACAATGAAAACGACAGCATAAAAAATGTATCCAAAAACATCAGAGATTCTTGGTCCTACCAGCTTCATGGCCAACTAACAGAAAACAAGAAACCAATCAGATCATGCAGGAAAACCACCCCTAGTGACTCTAGAACCTCAAAAGAATATATTCCAGGCAGCACGTAACATACGTATACTACTCTAGTACTAGAACCAAAGAATGGTGCACATCACCTTTCATCTAGTAGTGTCTAAACCAGAATATCCTCATCATCAGATAGGAAATCAGTGTTTCTGAAAAAAACCTGCAAGGACCACATCCAGTCTAGGTACCTACCTACCATAACACTCTTATACACTGGAAAACCAATAATCAACAACTAAAAATCGTGAGATGCCTGTAAACAAACAGGTAGGGTAGAAAAAGGGAGAGGTGCAGCCGATTACCGACCCGAATGCGGGCATTGTCGACGAGCGTGATGAGCGGGACGAGGCGTAGGTAATTGTCGATCTCGCTCTGCGCCTTGCGGAACTGGTAGACGATGTTCCAGCCCATGGCGAGGAGGTAGAGGTAGGAGCGGTCCTGGCAGGAGTTGACGAGCAGGTAGCCCCGGCGGAGCGCGTCCTCGAGCTGCTCCAGCGGCTCCCGCGTCTCCGGGTACTTCCGGAGCTCCGACACGCGGAGCTGCTCCAGCAGGCCGCCGATGAGCTTGAGGTGCTGCGCGAAGCGGCGGCAGTTGCGCTTGTGCAGCCGCGCCGTGGACGCCGCCCTGACGATGAGGGAGATGAGCTTGACGGCGTCCAGACCCGTGAGCTGCGCGATGTTGGAGAGCTCCCCGAGATTGTCCCACGACGCCATTGCGACCTCGGCTTTGCTCCCGAGTCAAGCAATCACTCGATCGGTTTTCGTCCTCGGCTAGCCGGCGGAACGAACGGGAAGGAAGCGCTCGGGCCGGTCCGCGTGCAAGGCCTACGAGATCAGAGAGCCCTACCCGGCACGGTGCTTCTCCCCCTCGGGCATGGCCATGCTCGCGAGCTTCTGCGAGAACCTGCGCTCTCAGCCTCCGAAATTCCCGGTGAACAGAGCGCGGCGGAGCAGATCTGCGAGACTAGAACGGCGGCATTCCCTTCGCTTGCCTGAGAGGAAGAAATTAGCCGAGTTCACACCGCAGATCTTTTCGCTCGCGCCGACCAATCTCTGGCGGAAAAAAACGGCTCCCGAAATGCCGGTAAAGGTTAGGCAGGTTACGTTACCTGGCTGGCGCCTCCTCCTCCAACTCCGGCCGTGGCCCGTGGCAGAGTCGTGAATTGGATGGAGATGGGACTGGGGATGCGCACCGGCGCCTCTCCCTCCCTCCGCTCCGTCCTCGAGGCGCGGAGCCGGGAACTGGAGTGGAGAACAGGCAATGCCTGCAAGTGGAAGGGAGAGTGGATGAGGCCAGTCCCTCTCCTCCCACCCCCCCTCTTCTCTGTTGCTTCGGCGGTTACTGCTGGCCGGGCTGGCACTCCTCACCGGTTCACTCCACTGACCACGACAGCCATGTTGCGTTCCCCATGTCCGTCTCCGAGTCCGTGCCGCCCCGCGCAGGTCTGGGTCCTCGACTCCTCGTGCTGTGCGAGGGTGCCGTGCCTGGCTCGCTCTCGCTCGCTTCGTCGTCACCCGTGGCTCGTGGGCAGGCAGGTGGGGCCGCGGGGGGCAGCAGCACTGGCACTCCATCGCGGTCGGCGACAAAGGAAGTTAATTTCTTGGGAGGTTGTGCGTCTCAGGCTCAGGATTTCAGCAGGGAGAGGAGAATTGGAATTGATCGCTCCGCCGCGTGTCACCGACGAGTGGGCCATCCGCTCGTTCAGATTCCAAGGTTGAGGTTCAGTACTTGAACGTTGGAATTAAACAAGACCCGGCTGCTGCGCGGTGCGAGCGCCCGTGAGCCGGTGGTTGGAATAATGGTTGGTTGGACTTAGACGACTTGTCAGGGCATCCGCAACAGTAAAAATCAGTTATCAGGTCTAAGTCAATCTCTTGAGCAGTGTTAGTTTTTATCGATAGCTCATAGTAGGATCAGGTTTACACGACACTCTCACATGTTCCTAGAATATAGGTATGAGACTAGTTCTGGATTAAGAGTTAGTTTTTCTTTCTCTTCTATTAAAATATAAAAACAATCGCCCTATTCGTTTGGGCTGGTTTGGCTTATAAGCCATGGCTGAAAATACTGTTGGCTAGTTTGGTGTGAGAGAAAGATACTGTTCGTTGGCTGATAAACCATGGCTTATAAGCTAGATATGAGTAAGCGAACAAACTGAATGCTTAGAGTTAGCTTAGCTTATGAGTGACTCATTGCGGATTGTATTAGTAGGAGTAGGAGTACTCTCCTAGACAAGGAGGATTAGGAGGGACGCTTTATTTATTTATTTATTTATTATAGTAGTATATTTTTTGTTCAAAAAGGCCCCTGCAGCTGCACAGGCAAGTCTGTCCGGGGACGAAATGGACGTGCGCGTGCGCCGCGGGTACCAGTACCACCCACCCTGCAGGCTGCACTGCACCAGGCCACCAGCGCACTTGCATGAGCCAAAGGTGGTGGTCTGGTGAACATGCGTCGCCACTGTTTCCGTGGGCCCCACCTTCCTACTCCGGTGCCCTTGAGTGGTGCCAGCCGCCCAGCTGCCCGTCCACAACACACGCATCTCATGGCATGGCATGGCCCTTGGCACGTCCTGGGATGGATGTTTCATGTTTAGGTCGGTCCCTCCACTCCCACGGGCCGCGGTCCCACCAACTCGGGTGCATTTGCACGGCTAGTGCGTTCGTGTACCTCGCGCCTCAGTGCGAGCGTGCGACCTCATCACGACGTAGTAGCTCAGAGTCACAGGGCGAGCGTGATGGCTACTGGCTCTGATCGCGTGCCTGTTTCTGTTTATAAGTCATACTTCAAAATCTTTGTTGATTTGTTTCAGGCGAGGAAAAAATAATGGAGGGCGATAAAGCGCCATGTTATAAGTCGTAATTTTTTTATTGATCGCGTGCCTGTTTCCGTTTGCAGTCAGCTTCACACACCGGACGCTCTCAAGTCTCAAACCGTCAAACGGCAGGCGGGGGAGGCCGGGCCCGGGAGGGCGACAACGTCACGGACTACAGCGAGAGCAACACCGCCTTTCAAAAAAAAAACGGCAACAGGCAACAGCCAGGGAGACAATGTCAACTGTTCGAACTTTGGAACGGGCCAGCCCACTCCCTCCTCCCCGGCACCCGGCACCGCAGCCACGGACTACCCCACGGGCCACGGGCTCTCACTCCAAAAAAAAAAAAAGCCCAGCCGCCCATTCTAGGCTGCCCGCTGGGCTTGAGGACGCTGCTCCAGTAGGGTCATTCTATTCTAGGCGTCGGCTGGAGAACAGTGCGGTCCATTTGATTTTGCACTATATTTGCTACCGTTGGCTGTCGCACAACGAGTGTGCTCAATGGCGCGCACACTTGACTGGCCACGTTGCATTGAGTATAAAAAATATTAGAATTTTCATCTTAAAGAAAGAAAAATAAAATGCTTTTGGATCAAAATGGAAGAAGCAAAGAGCGCCAAAGGTTTATAATACTAAATTAGTATAATTAGATATAGCATAAACTATTTTTTCATAATATGTTCATTTGATGTTACAAATATATGTACTTTTTCTATATATTCAGTAAAATATATAAAAAATTGAATAAAAGTTTATTTATTCAGAGATGGATGAAGTAACTTGTATAGTTGTAGTGCTCCCTTGCACGTCAAAATTAAATTGTGGTGCAAAGCAAAGCAAAGCCAAGCCAAATATTAAATCCTTATGCGAACTGATCATAGATCAGTTGGTTGGGTTCCTCGTAGTGGGACCTGCCTACCCGGGCTCAAGTCATCGACTTGGCACGGGTGCTCGTATTTTTCTGGATTTATTCTAGGATTTAACGGCGCTATGCTTTTAGTGATAGGCGACATCCCCGTCGACAGCGAGGCGCCTGTGGTGATTTCGTAAATTTCAATCTGCCGGATCGGTGCTTCGAATGTGCTCATAGGGGTAGAGTTTGCATACGTGTGTTCATAGGGAGTTCATGGGGCTCTCTGCAATGACGACGGTTCATGGTCCATGGCGGAAGAACCATTGGTTAACATGAATAAAAGTTGTGAAGAACCATTGGTTAACATGAATAAAAGTTGTTGTGGTTAGTAGTGGTCCTAGTGAAAACCGTTGTTATGGTTAGTAGTGGTCCTAGTGAAAACCCTCTTGCGCTTCCTGGTCCACTGAAAACCGTTGTTATGGGTCAGTAGTGGTCCTAGTGAAAAACCCTATTGCGCTTTCGGGATCATGACTCATGAGAAACCACTGCTAGAAAGAAAAGCATGCACAAAACTCCGGGCTGGCTAGTGGGCCTAATGCAATATATTACTCCGTAAAGAGCAACCACTACTAGTGACAACGGTTCACGGGACGGTCCGTGGTGGCAAAACAATTGGTTCACAGGGAATTTGTATCTTGACATGCATGGCTCTCTGCAGTGACAACGATGGCAAGGCGTGGGAGGCCTCGGATCTTAGAGAGAAGCTATTAGTTCATGGTCCTGGTGGAACCAGGGGCTAGCAGGGGCACGTGCCCCCCCCCTAACTGGTTCACGGTCAAAGGCGGAACCGGAGGCTAACAGGGTCCGTGAAACAACAATATAATTACTTATTATCATCATAAAATCAACACAATACCTAGGGCATGTTCATTCCTCTGCATGGGTTGGTATTAATCATCCCTATGCAGCCAGTCATTATTTTCAATGCCTACTATGTTTTTTCTTTTCCTTGTCCAGTTCAACTCCATCTGCTACAACACATATAAAAAATGGATAATGCATAGGTTGGTTCGAGCTTGGCCGTGGTTTCACCTCTCAAACCACCAGTGAGTGTAGTTTTTTATTTTCTAAGATGATATGCTTGTCGTCATTTCTTTTTTTTTCATCCCTCTCTTCTTGAGTCATTGCATCTCGTCGTGCCTTTCCACTTCCCTTTTACGTTGCCTAGCTTCATCAATTTTAGCATGTGCATTAGATGCACTTGGATCACCTATTTCAAAAATATGTACATGAAGAATTAATGCAATGTCTTGTTCATCGCAAAGCATTCGTATTGTATGTGTGTGTCTATATATATATATCAATATCAATGGTTACCTCCGCTTGTGCTGTTATGATCCAAATGGTCCATGGAAGAAAGGGGTGTTAGGGAGTATACTCGCTTGTTATTAAGTGGCTCTTTGTTACACTCTGACGGACTTAGTTACCGATGTTGCCTAAAAGACATGGATGTTAGAGTGGCACAAATAATATAAACTCATATGCATGTATAATAATGTATATTGCACTTTGGTCCTATTTGAGTGCTCAATAAATTTTTTACGAGATTGAGAATCCAGGGAACTTTGAACTAAGAAGCACAACTGCACAAGTAACAAAAAGGTGGGTGCTTTAATCATCAGGAAGGGATCGCAACTTGCAGCAGGTGATTTCACATGACGTGAGAAGTTATTTTTTCTTTCTTGATACAAGGTTTATATATAAAGAAAAAAAATGCTAGAGCCAAGCCTGCACTTTGAACTAAGAAGCACAACTGCACAAGTAACAAAAAGGTGGGTGCTTTAATCATCAGGAAGGGATCACAACTTGCAGCAGGTGGATTCACATGACGTGAGAAGTTATTTTTTCTTTCTTGGTACAAAGTTTATATATAAAGAAAAAATGCTAGAGCCAAGCCTGCACTTCTAAGATTAATAATTTAGTTGCTGACCTTGTATGTATTTCCGTTTCTCTATAAATGGAAATGGTGTTCAACCTCGTGTTGA